TATTTAGAAGTAGGTGAATACATCTACTTTTAAACGAAATGTAAATTTAAAATTTTTTTAATTTTAAAAATTCTTAAAAAATCTAAAATTTCCAAAAATTTTAAGAAAATTTCAGAATACAAATCTAAATATATTATAAATTAAATGAGCTATATCTTATACAAATCGGGGTATAAATAAGGATTTTATTAGGAATTTAGATTTTTAAAAATTCATAAAAAATCTAAAATTTCTAAAATTGCAATTATATTTTCAGAGTGCAATCCTAAGTATATTATCAATAACTTGAGCTATATCTTATAAATAAGGATTTTATTGAGAAATAAGTGAATATATCCTATTTTAGGTTCAATGAAAAAATTTAAAATTTTTAATTTTTAAAAATTCTTAAAAAAATTTAAATGATCAAAAATGCAATTATATTTTAAAAATCTAAAGCTAAATATGTTATAAATTAAATGAGCTATATCTTACTAAAATCGGGACATAAATAAGTATTTTATTAAGATTTAAGTAAAGGTATCTTATATTAGTTTCAGTGAAAAAATTAAAAATTTTTAATTTTTGAAAATTCGTAAAAAATCTAAAAGGACCCAGAGTGTAATTATATTTTCAGGATGTAAGCCTAAATAGAATACAAATAACATGATAACATGATTTTAAAATCGGTGCTTAAATAAGTATTTTATTAAGATTTAAGTAAGGGCATCTTATTTTAGGTTCAATGAAAAGTTTTAAAATTTTTCAATTTTGAAAATTCGTAAAAAATCTAAAAGAACAAAGAGTGTAATTATATTTTCAGAATGTAAGCCTAAATAAGATACAAATATAATGAGCTATCAACTATTAAAATCGGGCCATAAATAAGGATTTTATTAAGATTTAAGTAAGGGCATCTTATTTTAGGCTCAATGAAAAATTCTAAAATTTTTGAATTTTGAAAATTTGTGAAAAATCAAAAAGGACTAAGAGTGTAATTATATTTTCAGGATATAAGCCTAAATAAAACACAAATAACATAAGCTATCAATTGTTAAAATCGGTGCTTAAATTAGGATTTTATTAAGAATTAAGTGAAGATACCTTATTTTAGTTTCAGTGAAAAAATGTAAATTTTTGATTTTAAAAAAATTTTAAAAATTACAAAAGGACCAAGAGTGTAATTATATTTTCAGAATATAAGCCTTAATAAGATATAAATAACATGAGCCATCAATTGTTAAAATCAATGCTTAAATTAGGATTTTTATTAAGAATTAAGTGAAGAAACCATGTTTTAGGTTCAATAAAAAAAATTTTAAATTTTGGATTCTTGAAAATTTTTAAAAAATTGAAAAAGGAACAAGTGGGTAATTATATTTTCAGGATATAAGCCTAAATAAGATACAAATAACATGAGCTATCAATTGTTAAAATTTATGCATAAATTTGGATATTATTCAAAATTAAATGAAGACATGTTATTTTTTGAACAGTGAAAAATTTTTAAATTTTTTATTTTTAAAAAATCATAAAAAATTAGAAAGCACCATTTAGGTAACTATATTTTCAGGATATGAAACCAAATATTTGGGAAATAAAACGAGCTATCAATTCTTAAAATCCATATAAAAATAAGGATTTTATTAAGAATTTAATGATGACAACTCATTTAAGCAGAAATACAAAATTTTTAAAATTTCGCCAAAAATTTAAAATAACACAGAATGCAATTATATTTAAAGGACATAAATCTCAATATGTTAGCAACAAAATGAGCTTTATTACATGAAAATTAATGCTTAAATATGGATTTTATTCACAATTAAGTGCAAGTATAATGGGTTAGAATGAGCTTTATGAGCCGGTCTAGTTTATGTAAAACTTCATACATACAATGTATGTATGTATGTAGACATGTAAATCATTTCCAAAATGGGGGAGCTTATTAGCAAACTTATTTTTTGCTTAAGTGGCGTTTCGTTAATTTTTTGTTCTTAATTATTGATTAATATACTGTCTTTGTCGTCATCACCATCAACATCATCATCTCTTTATCATGTGTGTGCATTTTTTGTGGTAATTTTATATTTAAGCAATAAAATTGTTCCCTATTTGTTGCTGTTGTTGGCTCTTTAAACAATAAATAAAATTTTTTCTGCTGAAAAAAAAATTGAAACAGTTTAAATGCAGTCCAATGAAGACAAGTACCACACAACTATATAACAAGGAGGGAGAACAAAAAATCTCCATTTCATTATAAGGCGCATTTAAGAAAGAAAGAAAAAAAACCTCAAGAATATGTAGCTTTTTTTTGTGCAAACTTCTTCTAAGGTATACAATTTAATTCCAGGAATTTTAAAATACACAACTTAAACTAAATCAAATCAAATACTTTGCCGACTTAACCTTGAATGAAAAAACAAATTTAACCAATAAAGAACAAGCCCCAAAGCCCAAAGAAACCAAAATGTAGCCAAAGAGCAAGATAATATTGAAGGCAAATGCATCAGCATACAAGACAGAGTACATAAGTTAGACTTTGAAAGGAACTATTGTTGTTGTTGTTCAACCGGGTTCTTAGTGTATGTGTAAGTGTATGTTGCTCCTAGTAACCTTGATTTTTGGCAAATATATCTACTTGATTTGTTTAAGTGTGTGTTTAAGTTTGATTTCTTGGCCTTATTTCTTAGAAACTGCAGGTGATTTTTTTTCTTCTTTTCTCTTCTCTTGTATCCTCTTGTTGTTGTTATTGTTGCTAATATTTCAAAATTTTGTTAGTTTTGCAATTTTTGGTCTCTATTTCAGTTTTTATTCTCAGTTTTATTAAATGAAGAGCATTTAATTTCTTAACTTGTAGCAGATGATTGTGTGTGAATGCGTTTTTGCGTTTCCGCGAATTTGTTTAATCGTTAGAAAAAATACATTTTTTGAACAAACAAAAATCGGGAAAAAAAATCTTTAAATTCATTGAATCTATAAAAATCAAAGTTAGAGTCAGTTAGTCACTTACATACATACAAAATGTGAATAAATACTTATGTATTTTTCAGTCATTTCAGTTAGTTAGCCATTTCAAAAGTGGTGCATATAAGTAGGAATTGTAACCCAGCAGATGTAGGAATGAAAGTTTTCTATGCTACAATATACATTTTGTTGAAATCCAGGCCTAAGTTTAGACATTAATCGCTATTAAGTGACTGTAGTTTATTTTGAAATAAATGCAAAATTTAATAAATTTTATCATTTTTAAAAATTCATAAAAAATCGAAAATTCTACGAATTGTAATTCTTTTCATATAATTTAAAGCTAAATATGTGACAAATAAAATAAACCATATTTTATGGCAATCGTTAAAGAAATTTCGATTTTATTCACAGTTAACTGTTGCAACCTTGTTACGAAAAAAATAACAAATTAAAACATTTTTGATTTACAAAAATTCATTAAAAATCGAAAAAAAGCAAATAATCCAAATCTTTTCTTAAGTCTTAAAGCTTATTTCGTAACAAATAAATTGAGACCAATTTTTTCAGAATCGATTAAAAAATTTCGATTTTATACACAATTTAATGATGTTACTTTATAAAGACAGAAATCTAACTTTGAAAAATATTGATTTTTAAAAATTCGTAAAAAATCGAAAACGGCAAGAAATATAATTGTTTTTTTTAGATTAGAAAGCTTAAACTGTTTCCAATAAATTGAGATATATTTCTTCAAATTCGTTACATAAATATCGAATTTATTCACAACAAAGTGTTAACATCTTATTATGAATGAAATTCTAAAATAAAAAAAGTTTAATTTTCAAAAATTCATTAAAAATCGAAAACAGTAAAAAAGTGAAATTCTTTTCATAGTTCTTAAAGCTTACTTTGTAACGAATAAATTGAGACCAGTTTTTCAAAATCGATAAATAAATTTCGATTTTATACGTAAGTTAATGATGTTACTTCATTAAGACAGAAATCTATGTATGAAAAATATTGATTTTTAAAAATTCATAAAAAATCGAAAACTGCAAGAAATTTAATTATTTTTTTTAGATTAGAAAGCTTAAAATGTTTCCAATAAAATGAGATATATTTATTCCAAATCCATAAATAAATTTCGATTTTATTTGCAATTGAACAATGGTTCCTAATTAAAAAAAAAAATCAAATAAAATATGTTTTTGTTTGTATTTTAAAATCCTATGTTTTGCTGGGTTACTCCTCCATATATTTGTTATTCAATATGCATTTATTTTGCTATTGACTTTATTTCTTAAAAAAAAAAAACAGTTGATGTTGTTGCTTTCTTTGTATTTAACAGCAAAACGGTTTATTTTATTTTTATTGTTCTCTTTTTTCAATTCTTAAGAATTTCATTTTCAAACAGACATTCCTTTCGGTTTAGAGACAAACAAAATTGGAAGAAAAAACGAATGCCTTAAGGGCTTCTACTTATTCCTGGGCCGTTCTTTTTGATGGTGTGTGTTTGATGTTTAGAACATTTTTAAGGTGGGTTTCTTTAAAATATATGCTGTGCAGCATTTAAAGTACCGTTAAATAACGCCTACAAACATTTAAACACTTTTTCAACTGGATTTAAGAATGCAGATTGAAAAAATGCTTAACATTAAAAAGATTTAGTTGTAGTTACTAAATATTTTTAAAGCTTTGATCTTTTCAAATACAAATTGCACTAAAAGTAGTTTTCTAAACAATAGTTTGTTTATGACAACTACAATTTACATTAAACTTTAAATATTTTGTTGTCTCAACAATATTTTGGTAAGCACAAATGAAGTATATGTTTAACTTAATTAAATTTTGTATTATTGATCAGTTTCAACTTAATTTATGATTTATTATTAAATTTCCGTAAATCTCAAACTTTAACTTAAATCTGCGTGCCTTAGTTTGCCCTTATGGCTTTACTCATATGTCCTAAAAAATTTGATTTAAAATTCCTGGAAAAACTGATTATTTTTCTCCACTGCACTTTGATTATATACAATTTTTTTTACCACAGCAAACATGTTGTTATTTTTTTTCAAGAAATGTAATTTGAAACCACTTTATTTTAAATACATAAATGTCATAATTTTGTCAATATAAAAAAAAATTAAATTCATTTTATATAAAAATAATTTTCTTATTAACTTTTTGTGCATTGAAATCTTATTCTTATAAAAAAACTTTTTTTCTCAATTTCATTGCAGCACTTAACGCTTCATAAATTTGAAAATTCAAAGAAAGAAAGAAAAACAAACAAACATCATAAATAATTTCCTGTATTTCAACGATTGTTTTTTTGGTTCAACAAAATAACAGGATTCATTTTTACAAAACACAACAACAAATTTTAAAAAAATAAATGCTAAAAACGCATTTAATTGGGATTATAAAAATTCAAAAAATTTCGGTTTGGCATCAGCATCATTCTTATTATCGAGAAAATCTCTTACAGACGACGAAAACGACAAGATCAGCAGCATTAACGTTAAGAAGAAAACTAACGAAAAACTGTCGCTGTTTAAGAAAAAGACGAAAAATTCATCATATAAGAAAAATTCAAAATTTATGGTTTGGCTCTAACGTTTACCACGACAACAACAACAACAACAAATAATCCCAAAACATCAGCATCATCAAATACAAAAATTTCATTAAAATTTATCACAATTTTTTGCAAACAAGAAAAAAATTCAAAAATTTTTTTATTTAAAAGAAATCACACTAGAAGAATTATCAATTTGGCTGTTTTTTTAAGCAAAATTTTATTAACATCTCGTTTGGATTCAACATTTTATTTTTGTCGTTAATTATTTTCGAAAATAAATCAACATGGATCCTCAACAACAGTTTTGTTTAAAATGGAACTCGTATTCATCAAATTTGGCCATAACATTCTCAAATCTATTCAAATCCGATTTATTAGCAGATGTAACATTGTCATGTGATGGTAAGTGGAAAAGCTTTTTTCTAATTATTGTTATTTATGAAATAACTTATTTTAAAACTAAAAAACTATTGCAAGGTTAATTTAATTTGAATTAAAACCTGGTTTATAGAAAGCTTTAAAGCTTCCGGTAGTAACTAACATTGAGATAAAAGCTTGTAGTTTAGAAAGAACTCACTACTGCAGTCGTCCTAAAGTAACAATCATGTAGCTAGCTAATAATATAAAAAAACTTTTAGAAAAGTTTTAAGCATAAATTGATTAAACTCTTAAGCTTTCTATTTCGTTTAAAATTGTGAAGCATATACCCTGAGAGAACTTTATATATAAAGTTAAAAAAAAAGCTCTTTAAAAGCGCGTTAAAGCTTTCTGTAGTCAATTTTCTTTAAATACATTAAAACTTAGGCTGATGTCAGAGTGCCTGTTACAAGCAATGCGTAGCTTTGCGATACAAACCTTTCCTTGTGTTTTCCTATGTGTCATGTCAGAGTGAAAGCGAAGCTTGATGCGAAAAAACACAAGCAAAAGTTTGTAGCGCAAAGCTTCGCATTGCTTGTAGCGCCCACTCTGACATCAGCCTAAGGTTGACTACATAGTGGGCGCTACAAGCAATGCGATGCTTTGCGCTACAAACCTTTCCTTGTGTTTTCCTATGTGTCATGTCAGAGTGAAAGCGAAGTCTGATGCGAGAAAACACAAGCAAAAGTTTGTAGCGCAAAGCTTCGCATTGCTCGTAGCGCCCACTCTGGCATCAGCCTAAGTTGGAAAAAGCACTTTAAAGCTTCTTGTAGGTAATATGCTTTAACTCTAAAACTTAGTTTAAAAAGGTTATTGTCACCACACAAGTAACTGGTTCTTTTTAAATTTCCTTTCCTTTAAACAAATTTACACTTAAAATATTTTAAAAATTAAAATTTAAACTCTTTAAAACCCTCATTAAACCACCAGCAAATAAATTTTTAAACAACAAAAAAGAACTCTTAAGAAAAACCTGACCTAAGATAATTTTAACGTTTTTTTTTTCACATAAAAAAAAATTAGAATACAACAAATATTTGTAACCTTTTAAAACATAAATATTTATATAGAAAATTTAGTATGTAAAAACATCTCTAAAAAACAAAAACACATTCGGTGTGATATTCACAACCTACATATACATACATACGTACAAAAGACAATTTTTTTTTTATGTAACGTCTTCAATTTAATAAAAAGCTCATAAAAATGATAATAAAACTGAAGAAGAGGAGAAAAAAAAGAAAAGGACGATTTTTCTTTAAATCATTGAAGAAAACACGTTGTAAAGTAAGAAAATCTAAATAAACAAAACAACAAAATAATTTAACCCCAGACAGACAATGTGACAAACTTAAGGACAGACAGACAAACATTTAGATTTATGTATAGAAATGTTGTTTGTGTCTTAAAGGCACAACCAGCAAAAAACAATATTGATTAAACTGAAAAAGTATAACAAAAAACCCACATAAACAACATACTTTAACAAGGATTTTTTACTGTAAATGAATTATGTTGTAGAATGTTAAGACAGAACAAAAAAAAATACAAGAAAAAGTAGGAAAATCACGTCTACATTGTTAACTTAATAATAAACAGTCATTAGTTAAAGACACGTTTGTTAAGAGATTCACAATTCAAGTTCTTTGACATACATAGAGGGTTTAAGGATATCGTAGTAATCTTATAAAATCATTAGAAAAAAAAACTTCTCAAAATTTTATAATAATCTAACATGAACATGAATAGTTCCAATTTTAAAATTTTTATACATTTGTTTAAAACACATTTTTGTTGTGAACACAATGCTACAAGATTTATGCAAATCGTGCAAAAACTATAGAACTTTTTTAGCTTTTGACGAAAGTCTTTCAATTTATCTACAATTTCAATATCAACTCCTTAAATTATGCAATAAAAGTATAAAATTAAGCAACTTCATAGTGACTCCTAAAAGAGAAAAGTCGAACAATTTTCTTAAAAATTTATGTTTTAAATATGCTATGAAATACATTTAAAAACAAACAAGCTAATTTCTTTAGTGCCTCCTAAAACTATGCTACGAAAAAGTACAGAACAATTTCCTTTAAAAGTGGGCGTATAAAATATTTTGGTTAGCCTTTACAAAAAGTTTTATAACTTCTGTAATTCTTGACTTTAATTGGACATATGCTTAGCAAATAACTTACGAGCAAATAATTGACGCATTGTTATATAATATAGCCACATTTAAGACGTGCTTTGTCACCTATATTTTTAAAAATTTTTCTGGTCAGAATAACTTCTAGCTTCAGAAAACCTTCCCAACATATGAAATATTGACTTTAGCAATCATAAGTAAAGTTTCACCAAATTAAAAAGATAACAACTTTTAATATCTACAAACTTTAACCTGAATATTTAACTTTATTACGTAGTTTTTATTTAATATTAAAGCTTTCTAAATTAACTTTACTCTTAAACAAACATTTTACTACTAAAATTTCTTTAAATTTCAATTCTAATGAATTAAAGTTTGCACAACTTCCTTAACGTTAAATTCACCACAAAGTATGCAATACTTTATTAAAATACATAACAAAAGCAAAACCAACATATAAACAATTGCCTCTAGCAAATCATATGATAAAACAACAACATAAAAAATTACAACAAATTAAAAAAACAAAACCAAAATTACACTTTCATTACAATGGGATTTTGAAAACCCATACTTTCTTAAAAAAAAAAACTGTCAATGCAAGGACCAACACACATGATATTTTAAATTCCAAAAAAATATATATTAATCTAAAAGCAAATATGAATGTTTTATTTTTCACAACACCCTCTGCTACAAGAACTGCAGCAGTAGCAGCTTTGAAGCTCCCTTTTTGTTAACGCTTCATTGCTGGCTTAAATCAAAAGGAAGCCTACTGAAGCAGGACATCAGCATAAGCAACGTTGTCATCATCAAACAAATCTATAGATGACAACGTTATGAATACATTTGATTTGTTTTGTTTTTGTTGTTGTTGGTTTTTTTATAGGAATATTAAAAACCACAATTTGTCTCTTCAAAAAAATGCAAAAAAATAATTTAAATTTATATTTTTCACTGTTTTGCCAACATGTGTGTTGAAAAATACTAGTTAAAAGGGAGAGTAAGTAATACATACTACTTTTTTGCTGGATTTATTAAAAGGATTTTCAAGGGGGTCCCTTTTAGATATGCTGTATTTATATGTGATTGTTGTTATTTGTTGGTGGGTAACAAATTTTAATCAAAAATAGTACTTTTTTGTTGATTGATTCCAACAAATATGAATATGAAACAATTTTTTTTGTTTTTGGTTTATAGTGGTGTTGAGTGTGGCCATTTTTTTTAGCCCAAAGAGTTGGAGTAAAGCTTAAGGTGTATTAAATTTTTTATAGGAATTTATTATTTTAAAATACCATTGTTCATTGCATATTTTAAGGCAGATGAGAAGAACTCAATTGTTAGTTTATTGAATTGTAAATCAATGACAAATATTTAAAAATTTTGATCTTTTTGCAATTGAAGTTTGCTGCCTACTTTTAGGTGCTTAACGTTAAATTTATCTGCTATGATTAAAGTATACTTTTAGGCGGTAATTTCTAAACTTTTTCTTCCTTTTATAACTCTTCATGTCAGGCTAATTTTAAACCAAACCTCCTTACAAAGACATTTTCATATGTATAGGTTGTTATCACTGTTTGGTCAATACTCCTCAAAATATGCTTCATAAATTTGCCAACTTTTGAATTTTGAGTGAAAAACGAACGATAGAAAAAACGAGAAATGTTTCGAAATGCGTGTGTTACCTTAGATATCACTTGCTGCTGTATATATGATGATGTATGGCTACATAAATACAAATAATCATACCAACGAGTTTTAGCAAATAGATTTTTTATTACACGTATTTTTTTTTTTAAATATACTGAATATTTTTTTCTGCTTATGTTTGTCTGTTTGTTATGATATTGAAATTCATATAGAACGGTCAGGATTTCTATTCTATTATCCTTTTTTTGCCAGCTCTACTGGCTCTTGGCCAAAACACAACGTTTCCTAAATAAAACAAAAAATGTGTAAACACTTCATATTCACCCAGCAGTGGGCACAAATACTTCTTAATACTTTTTTAGTCGCGTTTTTCTACGCATCATATGCATATTTTTTTCTTTAAATCGATATTTTTTTCTTGTTGCAAACAATATTATTTTATTAAATAAAAAAAAGTAAAACTCCTGTATTTCCGTAAATTTTTTAGTTCCGGGCAGACATGTTTTTCGTTTTTTTTTCCTCCAATTCATTGTTTTAACATACGCCAGACTTACAATAACTACTCATGCCTTTATTTAGATTTTAATATAAATAAAATGGTCATATAGCCAGAATTTTAAGAATTTTTTTTAAACTTATTCATATTTTTTTGTTGGTGGACCATTAGCTGTAAAAGGGCTTGGGTTTGTGTAAGCTTATGCTAACGATGTTTGTGTATTGTCTTCTGATACCTTTTCATTTTTTGTGGGTGAAAATTTTTTTGTTTTAGATTAATATTTAAAAGCTATCAACAAATGGCATAACGGTAAATTTGAAAAAAATTCGCTCTATAATTTCAGAGATGTTCAGCTTTTGGAAAAATTTCTTTTGAAAGTGTAATTTTTTAAAATTTTTATACAGGTTTATGATATTTTGTACAAGTTTGGCAAAGTTAACAAAAATTTTGCCTTAATTTTAGAAATTTCCTTTTTAGGGAAATTTTATTTTTGCAGAATTTTTTTATTATAATTTATGTTTAATATAGATTTATTATTACTGATTAATAATTTCATAAAATTATTGAAATTTCCCCTAGATTTTAAAATTTACTCCTAAGGGAAATTTTATTAAATTTTTTTTTTCTTAGTTTAACTTATTTTTAACAACTGCATTATTATTGTAGAGCATAATATTGCTTTAATTTGAAAATTTC